ACTACATGTAAACCACACAATAACCAAATTCTGTAAACCCAGCATTGTAATCCTTATAGAGAATAAACTTTGAGTTGAAAGACATTAATACCTCCCTGGATGATTGCTATCTACCAACTTACATATGTGTACTCATGCACTGGCATACTTAAGGTATGGCACATGCTCTGGGCGTCACCACCAAACAGCTTAAAGTCAGACAAGCCATCCTCAGTGAAAGATTTTTCTTCTGATGTATGATCTCTTATGGGTGAGAAATGCTAGGAAAACTTAATGTATGACATCAAACAATATATCTTCTTAAATCGTTTATTAATAGCAACTTGTGTCTTACAGTTACGAGGACAACGTCTCATAGGAATGTTCTGACAAGTTGATGTAAATTTTTTTTTTTGACATCATAGGCACTGCCAGAATCTTCTTGCTCTCATCATCTAGGCTGTACCACAACTAAAAGCATTACGAATTTACCCAAAATTCACTGCATGAAAAGTACGATATAAGTTATTAAATTTAATGTCTCTTGTTAGGTCACCCTGCCTTGGTGGGATACAGCCAATGTGTTGAAACTACATTACCTGTGTACTGCACAAAAAAAAAAAACCTGGTTTCTTGATGGGCAAAATCCATGGCTATGAAGGACTCCTTGGGAAGGGGGGGAATTTTCTTTACCATCCCTAGAATGCAACCCACAACACCTGTACCTTTTTTCTAATGTTTAATGTTAGACAAATATGTTGTGCCTGATTCAAGACAGGATCCAAACTAAAAATTATGCCCTTGTATTCTTAAGTCACCTTGCATGAAATGCTTTACATTGTATAAACAATGTATGCTGAAATAAAGCTATACAGTGGACCCCCGCATAACGATTACCTCCAAATGTGACCAATTATGTAAGTGTATTTATGTAAGTGCATTTGTACGTGTATGTTTGGGGGTCTGAAATGGACTAATCTACTTCACAATATTTCTTATGGGAACAAATTCGGTCAGTACTGGCACCTGAACATACTTCTGGAGTGAAAAAATATCGTTAACCGGGGGTCCACTGTATATTTCTATTGTACTGTACTCCCCCATTATATCAAAATACATTCCTATAAATGGAAATGTACTTAAATATTTGTGCATGTGGAGAACGTATAAACTTGAATAAATGTCGCTAATTTCAAAAGTCGTAGTCTAGCCACTACTGAGAATTGAACTGCCATCCCTACAAAACATATAATGTGCATACTGTACTTGAGGTGAGGCCAGGAGCTATGACTCAACCCCTGCAAGCACACTTGGTTGTACTGCCAACATAAATGTCATTTATCTGCAGATCAATCAAATATTAAAGTGAACTATGGTTGTGACTGGCCACTTAGTGGTCAATCAAAGAGTGATGGATCTTACTTTAATTTTTTTCAAATTCAAATTCAAAGTTTATTCTCTATAAAGATTACAATGTTGAATTTACAGATTTTGGTTGTTGTGTGGTTTACATGTAGTTAAATAATGATTACAGAGTGTACCACTAGAACACCTAGCATGGCTGGGCATTACAGAGTGTACCACTAAAACACCTAGCATGGCTGGGCATTACAGAGTGTACCACTAGAACACCTAGCATGGCTAGGCATTACAGAGTGTAACTAAAACACTACAGCATTAACAGGTACCATGAGCTGGCAAGGCTAGGCATTTCGGGCAGACTTAGTTTAATTCTGTATTTTAAAATATTACAAATTATGAGGTAAGTTGGTATTATGGCTAAGTGACTAAATACTAGTTTGTGAGTTTAGCAATGTGAATGCTTTTGTTTTGGCACAGTATATAGTTTCAGTATTGGAGTATCACAGGATTCATTATTTTAAGATTGAGATTAATATTTCTGTTTATGGTCAAATGAGTGAGTGAGTGTAAGTGTGAACCACCAGGTGGTATTCGTGTAGTTAGTTGACGGGGTGTATCAGGGAGATAAGATGTTTTCTAATAACAAAAATAATACATGTGCTCCTAGATTTGACAAGGTTATGTTCTAAAACTCATAGAATATTTTCAAATACAGTATCTGAGTAGTAAATAAAGACAGGTTGGCCATCACTAATCCAGCATAATTGGTACCTGGAGTTTCCCAGATTAGTGTGGTTAGGTTACAATACTTAATTAACCTATCAATAGACTTTCTGCTACATCTTCCTCATTATCATCACTGCTTTCTCCCCACTGGCTTGCTGCTGTGGACTTACAACCATCTGCGTCAGTATAATGATGAAATTATGCTAGCCGAAATTAGTGCCAACTCAGTGATGGCTGACCTATACCAGCATTGAACAGTAAATATATTAACAAGAGTTATGGACTTTCTGCCTTCACGTTGGGTAATTATCTGAAATTTCACCTCTAAACTGCATTTGCACCATCTTAAAGTTGAAATATTCTAAGTCAAGGAGCACCTGTAAAGACAACTTAGAGAAACAGACCTTCAAAACTAGTGGACACACTGTACATATCCTTATCCATCTCACTGAAGATCCAATATGGATGAGAAGAGTATATGATCCATCAAGATTTAGCTTAATAAGCCAAGGAGCATAACCAGGGAAGACTCGAGTAAAAGGAATCATTAAGAGCCAGTATTATTAAATTCGAATAGTGTTAAACTGACAAGGGTCATGCGGGGCTGAAAATAGTGCCTGGTCTATAAACAACTAGCTGGAAAGGGGATCAGAAGTGAGGGAAGAAAATGGCCGGAAGAGACGCAAGGGGCCATACGTCAAAGTCCGTGTAGTACAGCAGTTGCTGACAAAAAGTCAAAGTAAGTCCAAGGCAGAACCATCAGCAAGGAAGATAAAGTAAGTCCAAGGCAGAACCATCAGCAAGGAAGATAAAGTAAGTCCAAGGCAGAACCATCAGCAAGGAAGATAAAGTAAGTCCAAGGCACGACCATCAGCAAGGAAGATAAAGTAAGTCCAAGGCAGAACCATCAGCAAGGAAGATAAAGAAAAGAAGCAAGGCAAAACCATCACAAGGAAGATAAAGAAAGTCCAAGGCAGAACCATCAGCAAGGAAGATAAAGTAAGTCCAAGGCAGGACCATCAGCAAGGAAGATAAAGTAAGTCCAAGGCAGAACCATCAGCAAGGAAGATAAAGTAAGTCCAAGGCAGGACCATCAGCAAGGAGATAAAGTAAGCCCCAAGGCAGGACCATCAGCAAGGAAAAAAAAGTAAGGTCCAAGGCAAAAACCATCAGCAAGGAAGATAAAGTAAGTCCAAGGCAGGACCATCAGCAAGGAAGATAAAGTAAGTCCAAGGCAGGACCATCAGCAAGGAAGGAAGATAAAGTAAGAATGGTAGGGCAGTGGAGGTCAATTCTGCGAGCTTGCTGGTAAACCGGACAATCCACAATAAATTGATGAACCGAAATAGGGACCCTACAAATTCAACAGATGACTAGGGTATCACTCCATGAGATACCCATGGGTAAGCTAAGAGGCAGCAAACACTGCATCTTTGGTGTGAAAAGCAAAATATAGAAAAGAGAGAACCTCTTGGAAATACAAATGTGTCACTCTTCAGTTCAAGAAAGACAGTGATATAACTTACATTGCCGGGCACACCATCTAAAGGGGTCAAGAAGACACAAAACGTCCAGACCGTGGGAAAACCTCGGCAGCCACAGCCACTCCAGAGGATATACCTTTGAAGAATTTCGAGAGTATATCTACTCTCTGAGCCCAGCCATGGGCCAGGCTCGTCTGGAGCTCGCCTGGTCAACCAGGCTGTTGCTGCTGGAGGCCTGCTGCCCCACATATCCATCACAGCCTGGTTGATCTGGCACCTGTTGAAGATACTTGTCTAGTTTCCTCTTGAAGGCTTCAACACTTGTTCCAGCAGTGTTTCTGATATCTTCTGGTAAGATGTTGAAAAGTCTGTGACCCCGGATGTTGATACAGTGTTCCCTTATTGTCCCCACCGCACCCCAGCTCCTCATTGGGTTTATTTTACACTTCTTCCCATATCTCTCACTCCAGTATGTTATGGCAGTGTGCAGATTTGGGACCAAGCCCTCGAGCACCTTCTAGGTATATATTATCATGTATGTATCTCTCTCTCCTCCGCTCCAATGAGTACATGTTCAAGATTTGCAGGCGTTCCCAGTAGTTCAGGTGCTTTACTGGCTCAATGCCAGTGGAATCACAGTCGATGGCTGCCACTCCAACACAACAGATATTAGTGCCAGGAAAAAAAGACCTCCCCCCATACCACCAATCCGACGACATTCATCTTTGCAAATATACAGGGTCTAAAGCCAGCAACAAATAACAAAATACCTTTCATCCGTGGACTGCTTATGGAGTCAAATGCAATGTTCGCGGCTTTCACAGAGACTCACATAAAGGATCACTTGGACAACAAAATATGGATCCCGGGTTACAACCTATACAGATGTGACAGAGTGAACAGGCAAAAAGGGGGGGAGGGGGGTTTGGCCTGTATATCAGTCACTTACATGTTCAGAACTACTAAATGCCTCAAATGATGTAGTTGAAGTTTTAGCAGTAAAGATTGAGAACCAAAACCTGGTCATTGTGGTTGTATACAAACCTCCTGATGCAACATCCCAACAATTCCAGGAACAGCTTTTGAAAATTGACCACTGTCTGGAAAATCTTCCAGCTCCTGCACCCCAACATCTTGCTCTTGGGGATTTCAACCTAAGGCCCCTAAAATGGAGGAATATAGCAAATAATGTTGTAGCAGAGATAACACCAGGAGGCAGCTCAGATGAAAACTCGTACACACACGAGCTTTTAAATCTCTGCACCAAATTCACCTTAAACCAACAAATGATAGAGCCTACTAGACTGGAGAATACACTGGACCTCATCTTCACTAACAATAATGATCTGATACGAAATGTCATCATATCAAAAATAATATACTCAGATCACAACATAATAGAGGTTCAGACATGTATGTAAGGAGCCCCAGACTGACAAAATACGATCAGTCACAAGGAAGCCTTCACCAAATTCAACTTCAATAACAAAAACATAAAGTGGGACCAAGTAAACCAAGTCCTAAATGACAAACTGGGAAGATAGACTGAGTAACACGAATCCTACCCTATGTCTAGAACAAATTAACTCTGTGGTACTTGAGGTATGCTCAAGGCATATTCCCTTACGGAAAAGGAGAAGATGTAAATTAGAAAGAGAAAGGCGCTCCTTATACAGGCGAAGGTAATGAATTACATAGCAGCTACAAAAGGCCAATATATCTGCAATACGTACGGAGACACTGGTCAGAGAAATAGCAAATATAGAACTAAAGCTAAAGGAATCTTACAGGAGTCAAGAAATGCAAGAAGAACTAAAAGCCATAAATGAAATTGAAAGAAACCCAAAGTATTTCTTTTCTCATGGCAAATCAAAGTCTAGAACAACAACCAGTATTGGGCCCCTACTTAAATGGGATGGGTCCTACACAGATGACAGCAAGGAGATGAGTGAGCTACTAAAGGCCCAATATGACTCGGTTTTGAGCGAGCCACTAACCAGACTGAGAGTCGAAGACCTAAATGAATTTTTTATGAGAGAGAGAGAGAATTTGGTAGACACACACCTATCTGATATTATCCTGATGCCAAATGACTTCGAAAAGGTGATAAGTGACATGCCTTTGCATTCTGCCCCAGGGCCAGACTCATGGAACTCCGTGTTCATCAAGAACTGCAAGACGTGCTTTTAACATCTTGTGGAGAAGGAGCATAGACACTGGGGTCGTCCCACAGTTAGGTAAAACAACAGACATAGGCCCACTCCACAAAGGGGGCAGTAAAGCAATAGCAAAGAACTACAGACTGATAGCGCTAATGTCCCACATCATAAAAATCTTTGAAAGGGTTCTAAGAAGCAAGATCACCACCCATCTAGATACCCATCAGTTACACAACCCATGGCAACATGGGTTTAGAGCAGGTCGCTCCTGTCTGTCCCAACTATCGGACCACTACGACAAGGTCCTGGATGCTCTAGAAGACAAACAGAATTCAGATGTAATATACACAGACTTTACAAAAGCCTTTGACAAGTGTGACCATGGTGTAATAGCGTGCAAAATGTGTGATAAAGGAATAACAGGAAAAGTCGGTAGATGGATCTATAATTTCCTAACAGAACACAAACAGCAGTAGTCAACAGAGTAAAGTCTGAGGCGGCTACGGTGAAAAGCTCTGTTCCACAAGGCACAGTACTAGCTTCTATCTTGTTCCTCATCCTCATATCGGACACAGACAGGGATATAAGCCACAGCACAGTGTCTTCCTTTGCAGATGACACCCAGATTTGCATGACAGTGTCAACCATTGCAGACACTGCAAGACTCCAGGCAGACATCAACCAAATCTTTAAATGGGCTGCAGAAAACAATATGAAGTTCAACGATTAGAAATTCCAGTTACTACTCTGATATGGAAAATGTGAAGAAATTCAAATTTCATCAGAGTATAAAACAAATTCCAACCACACAATAGAGCGAAAAACCAACGTCAAAGACCTGGGAGTGATCATGTCAGAGGATCTCACCTTCAAGGACCACAACATTGTATCAATCGCATCTGCTAGAAAAATGACAGGATGGATAATGAGAACCTTCAAAGCTAGGGATGCCAAGCCCACGATGACACTCTTCAGGTCACTTGTTCTATCTAGGCTGGAATATTGTTGCACACTAACAGTACCTTTCAAAGCAGGCGAAATTGCTGACCTAGAAAATGTACAGAGAACCTTCATGGCACGGATAACGGAGATAAAACACCTCAATTACTGGGAGTGCTTCAAGTTCTTGAACCTGTATTCCCTGGAATGCAGGAGGGAGAGATACATGATTATATACACCTGGAAAATCCTAGAGGGATTAGTACCAAACTTGCACACAAAAATCACTCCCTACGAAAGCAAAAGATTCGACAGACGGTACAACATACCCCCATTGAAAAGCAGAGGTGCCACTAGCACAATAAGAGACAACACAGTGTGTCAGGGGCCCAAGACTGTTCAACTGTCTCCCAGCATACATCATGGGGATTACCAACAGACCCCTGGCTGTCTTCAAGAAGGCACTGGACAAGCACCTAAAGTCAGTACCTGACCAGCTGGGCTGTGGCTCATACATTGGATTACGTGCAGCCAGCAATACCAGCCTGGTTGGTCAGACCCTGATCTACCACGAGGCCTGGTCACAGACCGGGCCTGCAGGGGTGTTGACCCCCAGAACTCTCCTCAGGTAAACTCCAGGTATAGGATAAAGCAGGGAGAAAATTTAAGTGCTTCTTTACCCAGAAAAACACAAATACCACTGAAATATTTCTCCTAATGCAAAAAAACCTCCACACACACAGCCCGTGATTCTTTAAGCTGAGTATAGAAACAAACAAACAAAAAAAAAAAAAGCAAGGCTTCACTTCTAAGTAGGGCAAGACATGTTGGCAAGTTTTTTTTTATATTACGCTTGTTGCCTCTCGTTGCTCACCTAGCAGTAAATAGGTAAGTCTGTGTTGTGGATTTCAGTCTGGATCACAGCCAGACTTCATAGGTAAGTCTGTGTTGTGGATTTCAGTCTGGATACAGCCAGACTTCATAGGTAACCAGCTGTATCTTGGAGGTAGAGATCAAACATTATGAAAGAGAATGAAGAGTAATACCATTAGCATGGGAGTAAAATGTTACCTGTTATTCCTGCCTTCACCTCATCTCTTGTGAGGTACAGTATCAAATAACTTCTTGCAGTCCAAGAAACTGCAATCAACCCAACACTTCCCCCCTTCTCTCCTCCTATAAATTCACCTGGGCAATCTCTTGCATCTCCACGGGAAAGGGGAATAGAATTCTTCCTCTGGTAGCGGTGTGTGTCATAGGAGGTGACTAAAATGCCTTCTCCTGTATGTGTTACTAAATGTAAGAGGAGAAATTTTCGTTTTTCCTTTTGGGCCACCCGGCCAGCAGTAACAGCCTGGTTGATCAAACCATGATCCACCACGAGGCTTGGTCTCAGATTGGGGCATGGGGGCGTTGACCCCTTAAACCCTCTCCAGATATACTCTCCAAGTATACTCCCCCTCGGTGGGATATGGCCAGTGTGTTGAAAGAAAGGGGTAGAAACATTTCAACGTGTTTCCTTACACCTGTTGCCATGTTCACCTAGCAGCAAATAGGTACCTGGGTGTTAGTCGACTAGTGTGGGTCGCATCCTGGAGGACAAGATTGAGGGCCCCAATGGAAATAAGTTAGACAGTCCTTGATGATGCACTGACTTTCTTGGGTTATCCTGGGTGGCTAACCCTCTGGGGTTAAAAATCCGAAGAAAATTTTATCTTATCCTAAGAAGAATCTCTTGCATGCACAACAATGTTTCCCTGTCAATGGGACAGTCGTCCTTCTTCCTGATGTCAGCCAAGAACCACTAACTCACTGATAAGCAAAATCTGAGCAACAAAATTAGTTTCCTTAAGACACCTGCTGTTCATGTTCACCTAGCAGTAAGTAGGTACCTGGATGTTAGCCAACTGGTATGGGTTGCATCCTGCAAACAAAATTAGAATAATATGCCAGAAATGCTCTGAATAACAAGGGACTTTCTATACAGTATGTTACTGATGTCAGCTATTGTTTAAGTTGTATCATGTACGTGTAGAAATAAAGATTATTATTATTGACGTCAAGAGAGCAAGTAAGATCCTGGCCATCCATATCATTGGGTCTATTTTGTTAATCTGTATTAAAAAATGAGCTATTTTGAGAAAACAAAAAACTGTAAACTTACTAAAACAAAAAGTAAATTTTTTACACAGTTCATTTTACATACATACTAAAAAAAAAAAAAGTTAATTGTTTACACAGTTGATGACATCACAGCAATAAGGGACACGTTTTATAAATTTCTCGTTGCTAACACGACTCGACAATTGCATACCCACTAAACACTCCCTTGCACCGAGGTCAAAGAAATATTAATGGTGTCGAGGCATCTCGGTAGTGGCACAGCTCTGAAACTAGGTACTGGCCCTCCCATCGTTCCTAGAAAAAAAAATCTTGGTGTGCATTCTCACCCTCGATGTCTTGCTACGCTTACAGTAATTTATTTCCGTCAAGACTCGAACTTGGCACTAGTTTTTATTACACAAACAGTATAGGAGATCAAAGCCTTAAAAAACTAAGGTCCTCTGTGTAACACAATGTACAATTATTAAAAGTCAAGAAAGAACAAAAAAGGCACAATACCATGACGAACAATACGTAAATAAACCGGATGTAGGAAAGAGGAGCTTACTGCGATATTTTGGCCCAACTTGGACCATTTACAATGTCACACTGTGACTTTGCAAACAGTCCAAGGTTTCACTGTGACTTTGTAAATGACCAAAGTCACGCTGTGACTTTGTAAATGGTCCAAAGTGGACCAAAACATCCTCATAGGCTCCTCTCTCCTATGTGTGGGTTATTTGTGTATTCAAAGTCACTTTTAAGAAAAAAACAGCATGAGCAAATTGCCAGGATCAAAATGGACATTATTTGGCATCCCTCTAAAGAAATATAAGAACATTTTTTCACACACTATAAACATGTTAAAATATATAAAAAAAATTCACCTGGCTTAAAACTTAAAATATACACTACAAACTTGTAAATAAAAGACCAATGAAATCAGTTTACCTCTAAACACTAAGTTTTTTCCAGTTTTAATTAAACAAAAGTCAATTTTGAGTCAAATTCTTCATGAATTGTTATTGATATTAAAAAAAAAAATGAATGAATTCTTTACCAATTGTTACTGTAAATAAAAATTAAATTTTGAGTTGAATTCTTTACCAATTATTGTCAATAAAAACTCAATGGGGTGTTAAATTCTTTACCAACTGTTATTGTAAATCAAAAAACTCAGTTTTGAGTTGAATTTTTTACCAATTGTTACTGTAAATCAAAGTCTGGATATATTAACTGATTGTAATAGCATTAGTCATTACAAGTTTGTACTTCTACTGTCAGGTTTGACACTGCTGGCAGTTATAAACACTGCCACACCGACCCGGTTGATTCCCTCTGGGGTTCCTGCACACAGCCTCGGGAATATAAGCTCACTTTTTTTTTCTGCGACTTAAACGGTAACTTTATTTAGGTTCTGTACTGGCTTTAAAACAAGCTTGCTTTTAGCTTTTGTTTGCAGACTTGAAAAGTAACGGGTAATTTTCAAGTATGAAAAGGAACTTCTAGCTTTTGTTTCCAGAAAAGTAACAGATTTTTCAGTAATTCTGAAGTACAAAAAAAAACTTCCAGCTTTTGTTTCCAGAAAAGTAACAGATTTTTCAGTAATTCTGAAGTACAAAAAAGAACTTCCAGCTTTTGTTTCCAGATTAACTGGAAAAGTAACAGTTTTTTCCATTGGTTTTGAAGTACAAAAAGGAACTTTTAGCTTTTGTTTCCTGACAAGCATGCTCGCAGCAAACAGTCACAAACATATAACAAAACACTACAGTAAACACCACAACTTCGATAAACATAAAAGATCACGCACATTAGAACATGGTTTGTCTCGGGCAATAATCTAAAAGAACCCTGCATTACAAAAAAAAAATTTGGACATTGGTGACCAGTTGTCATTACTCACAAAATTTACCAGGAAAAGTGAGGAAATCATCCTCACTTGTACAAATCTCTATCATGACCAAGAATAATGCATGTCCTCGCTTGTACAAATCTCTATCATGACCAACAATAATGCATGTCCTCGCTTGTACAAATCTCTATCATGACCAACAATAATGCATGTCCTCGCTTGTACAAATCTCTATCATGACCAACAATAATGCATGTCCTCGCTTGTACAAATCTCTATCATGACCAACAATAATGCATGTCCTCGCTTGTACAAATCTCTATCATGACCAACAATAATGCATGTCCTCGCTTGTACGAAAATCTATCATGACCAACATTAATACAACAATCCAAAACTCTTGGTTGGCATGACTTTGTTGCAGAATATACACAAATGGTCACTAGATATGCTCTGGCATATCACATAAAGCATAATAAGTCTCTTTGATAAATATGAATATACAAAACTTCTTAGTTATTTGCATTATGAAAATACATATGTATATATATATATATATTTAGCATAGTAATCAAACCTCACCTAAATCAAGTAACATCCTCAAACTTCAGTTTGATATTCATTATTTATATTCACAGCAAGCTGGTGGGTCATAGGCAATATTTCCCACACTTAAATGCAGATTTTTCTGACAACGGAAAACTTTATTTATATAGTACTTGGTTTAATGTTTTAAAATGGCCAATTTACGTGGCCGTTATACACCCGTCTTTGTAGGCTTTTGTGATATTTGTCTGTAAAAATCACTTTCTGTGCTAATGAAATGTATGTAAATCATACCCAAAATATTCCGATAAAAATATCTTTAAACACACTGGAAGGCTTTTAAATCACTAGAGTCAGCCTGAAAACATGTCTTGGCACACTGATCCTGGCTGCTCAGTCTCTTGTCTAACAGCAGTGTTCATTATCTTGTCTTGGAAAACAACGTGAAATTCCAAGACATTTTGCTTACTTACAATTTGGGGGTCTGGAATTACTAGACCCTCCCACTGCTAGAATCACTAACTCTCTGGTGCCCAAATCCCTGTCTTCTCGGTTATGGATTCTAGTTTCCAGCCTGATCTTTGTTATATTTTACATGTGCAACCACAAATCTCTAATAGTCTAAGTGATGTCTATCACTTTTTTCACACTTCAGTACCGTCGGGTCCTTCGTCCTGGAAGACTCTGGCGTTGTCGCCCGCCAGGGAACCTTTCCTTGAGTCACTACCAGCTGAGGACACTGAGAGTCGTTTGCCGCTGGGTTTCGGTGGAGGTTTTGGAGGTACTTTTTTTCCCGAATTCCCCACGATACCTGGTCCCCCTGAGGACCCTACACTCATCTCGCTTGCATTTAAATCACCCTTGCCACTTATGGTGTTGTTGTTATTGTTGTGCTGCGAAGAATCCAGAGTAGATTCATTACTGGAGCCCAGTGGAGTTTTGGTGCTGGGTCGATGTGGAGAATGGTTCTGAGACACTGAAACAATAGGAGATGCTGTACGGTAGGCAGGAGAGCCGGTGCGCACAGTACTAGCATTGGACGGTGTCGGGGAGTGGGCAGCCAGGCGGGCAGCACGAGTAGTCAAGTGAGAAGAAGGAACCTCATGTTGGGGAAGGCTCAAGCTGCTACCTTCGAGCAAGTTTGGTGTCGAGCGTGGCAGTGTGGCACTCTGATTTCGAGAGTGAAGTCGGCCTGGGTGAGCACTCTGGCTGATGGGAGTGTAGTATGGGGGAAGAGAAGGTGGAGAACTCGGAGACTGCGGCGTATGAGGCGTAAAAGGCTCGGCTGCTCGTAATGCCGGGCGGGTCAAATCCGTGCGAGAAGTGCCGTCAGCGGTAGTACGTGGTCCTAGAGTGTCGTAAATTGGGTCAAACCTTACCAACTTCCCATCCTCGCTTGCCGGGGGTGGTGATGAGGCAGTGTCTGGTTCAACCATGGAGGTGCCTGCCCAGGAGGGGGAGCGGTGTCTACGAGGCAGTGTGACATACCCGGGACGTGGCTGCACTTGGTGAGGAGGAACATATGCAGCAGGGTAGTGAGACAACTCTGTAGGGGTTACATAGCTGTAGCGCCACTCTCCGGGAGTGGTGAACTGAGGCGCCACCAGTGAGTGGTAAGAGAGCTGCGTTGGTGACACAGCTCTTGGTCGTGTCATGTCTAGCAAGTCTGGATAATGTGCTGCATAGTCTGCCAAAACACACTGCGAAGGTGTGGCAGTACTGTCTAGAGGCAAGGTAGTGTCCTGAGAAGGAAGGTCATCATCTTCCTCCTCCAAGGTGGCCAAGGGAGAGCGGTGAGAGGCTGGGCCAGCTTCAGGGTAGTCTACTTCATCATAACTTCTGTGAGCTCCTGGATCAGGACTGAGGGCAGTTAACTCAAAGTCAATCTGTGGCACTTTCTCATATTTCCGTGGTGGCTTCTCAACCGGATTAACTATCATCACATTTTTATGCTCTATGTGATTTCCCCCAGCCACACCATTCACCTTAGGTCGAAGCTTGGATTCGTGGTGCCTGCGCTTCTTCAGGCAGCAACAAATTAGTAAGAAAATCAAGATCAGCAACAAGAGACCACCCAACGCTATGCTAATTATTACATACAGTTCAAGACCAGTTTTAGGGGAAACTGCTCCAGGTAATGTTGGTGCTGCTGGGATGAGAGAAACATTTTGCTCAACTAACCCAGCCAGGTTATCTGCCACACAGGTGTAGTATGTCAAGTCGTGATCAGTCACAAGCGGCACAGTCAGCTGCGTCCATCGATCCTTGCCCTCGACAATTTCTTTCACCATGTACCTCTGCTCCGGATGGGAGAATGGTATGATGGACATGTTGGTCAAGACGCGGCCGTGAAGCACCCACTTTAGCTGAGGTAGGGGGTCGCCTGAGGCCCGGCAAGTCATGGAAGCATTCTGGCCCAGAGCAACGGGAATCTGGGACTGAGGAACTATGAGCTCCGGCCGGCAAGCCAATTCAACATCTGACAAGGTCTCCCACTTTCGGCCTGAAACTCTTTCGGGCGAGCTGCAGGTGACGTGGGTCTGGGAGAGATGAACACAAACTTAATACCTCATTGAGTTAAAATGAAAGGTCAACCTATAAGTACAGTAACAATATAAATGAAACATTAACCTATAACTACAGTAACATTATAAATGAAGCAGTAATCTATAACTACAGTAACATTATAGATGAAGGACCTCAACTTCTGACCAAGCTGTTTTTATCTAAACTCAACATCAATTTGCTTGCACGTATTACATTTCAATCGTTATAAAACTGAACTTGGAGCCTAAACATAGATGTCTGTAAGTTTAAAGCCCACTGTGTTTCCATAAGTCACCTGCTGTCCAATGTTCACCTAGCAGTAAAATAGGTATCTGGGTGTTAGTCGACTGGTGTGTGTGGCATCCTGGGACAAAATTATCCTAATTTGCTCAAAATGCTCTGTATAACAAGGAGCTTTCTATATATTATTATGTCACTGATGTCAGCTATGGTCTGTATACCTTGTACATGTACTTGTATACCTTGTACATGTACTTGTACTTGTATACCTTGTACATATACAGTGGAACCTCTACTTACAAGTGCATCCATGTGCAAGTTTTTCCAGATATGAGCAGTTGCTCGGTTGATTTTTTGCTTCCAGACATGAGCGAAATTTCCACATGCGAGCAGGCCTCAAGAGAGGTTCCTTGACACTGGTGAGGGGCTCTTGCTCTTGATCTAGGGAACTGAATCTCACTTGTTTGTTGGACTATCTTATTGAAACTTAGGCAATGTACGATGGAAAGATGCTTCTTAATGTACACCAAAAATGAAAGAAATCAAACCATAAATAATGGAGTCAACTTCTCAGCCATTAGTCTCCCCTTAGCGGTATATTTTCTTATGGTTTTTACAGTTGTATTCTCATTTTTTTTGGTCTCATTTGATAGAATGGAAGATATACTACAGAAATAGATATGATTTTGATTGGTTTTACAACGAAAAGTACCTTGAAATTGAGCTCAAAGTAGCAGAAATGTTTGATTCTTTGGCACTGTTCAAGACAAAATAAATGACGTCACCATCTAATACCTGTCCAATTGGCACTGCCCCTCAACCTTCATATATTGGAAAGCTCTTCAACACGCTAGGAAAAGTGGGAGCATTTATCATAAGGTAGCAGTGGCAAATAACATGAAACAGCAGTGGCAGACAACATGAAGCAGCAGTGGCAGACAACATGAAACAGCAGTGGCAGACAACATGAAGCAGCAGTGGCAGACAACAAGAAGCAGCAGTGGCAGACAACATGAAACAGCAATGGCAGACAACATGAAACAGCAGTGGCAGACAACATGAAGCAGCAGTGGCAGACCTTGTTGTACCCTATACTATAAGTGAGATTCTGAACACCACCATGAGATGGCAGTCCACTCCACTCGCAATGGAAGGAATTCTCGTGTTTTCCTTACATTTTGCGCAGTTATTTTGTGAAATTTCTTGTTTCTAATCATGGGTCCTAAGAAAGCAAGTGCAAATGACAGTGCTGAGAAGAAAAAGAGGATGATTTCCATGGAATTAAAGCAGGAAATCATAGATAAACAAACTAGGTGGAGGGTTAAGGACTTGGCCAGGCAGTACCAGCGTACCACTTTACGATATGTACAATACTAAAGCAGGAAGACTCAGTGACAGAGTGTAGCAATTAAGTATAGCATTAAGAGTGTAGTAATTTTAAGTCACACTGTCTGACCTTTTTGGGTTATCCTAGGTTCTCTACACATGTAGTCAGGGGCAGGAATGGCCACTGTGGTGGCCCTATAAACCCCAACAACAACAATGGCAACTGTCACCACCACTAGCCACATACATAATGACATGTATTTTATTCATTCTATTGTACATATCATGTTTCTATGTTATTAACATTGCTTACTATGTCATATTAGATGAATTTTGATAGATAAATAAGCCATAGAGTTGATATTAGGGAAATTATTGAAGTATTTTGTCGTGCCTGGAATTCCAATGGAACGAATTAATTCCATTTCAATTAATTTAAATAAGGAAAATTGACTCTGCAAACGAGCAAATCCAGATGCAAGCAAGGTCACGGAACAGATTAAACTCGTAAGTAGAGGTTCCACTGTACTTTTATCAATAAAGATTATTATATTATTATTATTACAAGTGTCAGATTGTAGGTAGTAGGTTGGTAGACAGCAACTGCCCGGGGAGGTACTACCGTCCTGCCAAGTGAGTGTAAAATGGAATCCTGTAATTGTTTTACATGATGGTAGGATTGCTGGTGTCTTTTTTCTGTCTCATAAACATGCAAGATTTCAGGTATGTCTTGCTACTTCTACTTACACTTAGGTCACACTACACATACATGTACAAGCATATATATATATACACACCCCTCTGGGTTTTCTACCATTTTCTTTCTAGTTCTTGTTTATTTCCTCTTATCTCCGTGGGGAAGTGGAACAGAATTCTTCCTCCGTAAGCCATGCATGTCGTAAGAGGTGACTAAAATGCCGGGAGCAAGGGGCTAGTAACCCCTTCTCCTGTATAAATTACTAAATTTAAAAAGAGAAACTTTCGTTTTTCTTTTTGGGCCACCCTGCCTTGGTGGGATACAGCCGGTTTGTTGAGAAAAAAAAAAAAGAAAAGATGCAAAAAGTGGGTTATAATAAGTGTGTATGGACCTGGAGAAGAGAGGAGTGTAGAGGAAAGAGAGAGAGAGAGATTTTGGGAGATGTTAAATGAGTGTTTAGGAACTTTTGAACTAAGTGAGAGAGTAATTGTGGTAGGGGACCTAAATGCTAAAGTGGGAGAAATGGTTAGAGAAGGCATGGTAGGTAAACTGGGCTGCCAGGTGTAAATGATAATGGGTGGGCCTTTGAGCCTTGTGTAGAAAGGGGTTTGGTTTTAGGTAATACATATTAGGTAATACATTGATGGGATAAAGATAGAAATGTTAAAAGCAGGTGGGGATATAGTTTTGGAGTGGTTGGTGCAATTATTTAATAAATGTATGGAAGAGGGTAAGGTACCTAGGGATTGGCAGAGAGCATGCATAGTTCCTTTGTATAAAGGCAAAGGGGATAAAAGAGAGTGCAAAAATTATAGGGGGATAAGTCTGTTGAGTGTACCTGGTAAAGTGTATGGTAGAGTTATAATTGAAAGAATTAAGAGTAAGACGGAGAATAGGATAGCAGATGAACAAGGAGGCTTTAGGAAAGGTAGGGGTGTGTGACCAGGTGTTTTTCAGTGAAACATATAAGTGAACAGTATTTAGATAAGGCTAAAGAGGTCTTTGTGGCATTTATGGATTTGGAAAAGGCGTATGACAGGGTGGATAGGGGGCAATGTGGCAGATGTTGCAAGTGTATGGTGTAGGAGGTAGGTTACTGAAAGCAGTGAAGAGTTTTTACGAGGATAGTGAGGCTCAAGTTAGAGTATGTAGGAAAGAGGGAAATTTTTTCCCATAAAAGTAGGCCTTAGACAAGGATGTGTGATGTCACCGTGGTTGTTTAATATATTTATAGATGGGGTTTGTAAGAGAAGTAAATGCGAGGGTCTTGGCAAGAGGCGTGGAGTTAAAAGATAAAGAATCACACACAAAGTGGGAGTTGTCACAGCTGCTCTTTGCTGATGACACTGTGCTCTTGGGAGATTCTGAAGAGAAGTTGCAGAGATTGGTGGATGAATTTGGTAGGGTGTGCAAAAGAAAAATTAAAGGTGAATACAGGAAAGAGTAAGGTTATGAGGATAACAAAAAGATTAGGTGATGAAAGATTGAATATCAGATTGGAGGGAGAGAGTATGGAGGAGGTGAACGTATTCAGATATTTGGGAGTGGACGTGTCAGCGGATGGGTCTATGAAAGATGAGGTGAATCATAGAATTGATGAGGGAAAAAGAGTGAGTGGTGCACTTAGGAGTCTGTGGAGACAAAGAACTTTGTCCTTGGAGGCAAAGAGGGGAATGTATGAGAGTATAGTTTTACCAACGCTCTTATATGGGTGTGAAGCGTGGGTGATGAATGTTGCAGCGAGGAGAAGGCTGGAGGCAGTGGAGATGTCATGTCTGAGGGCAATGTGTGGTGTGAATATAATGCAGAGAATTCGTAGTTTGGAAGTTAGGAGGAGGTGCGGGATTACCAAAACTGTTGTCCAGAGGGCTGAGGAAGGGTTGTTGAGGTGGTTCGACATGTAGAGAGAATGGAGCGAAACAGAATGACTTCAAGAGTGTATCAGTCTGTAGTGGAAGGAAGGCAGGGTAGGGTCGGCCTAGGAAGGGTTGGAGGGAGGGGGTAAAGGAGGTTTTGTGTGCGAGGGGCTTGGACTTCCAGCAGGCATGCGTGAGCGTGTTGATAGGAGTGAATGAGACAAATGGTTTTTAATACTTGACGTGCTGTTGGAGTGTGAGCAAAGTAACATTTATGAAGGGATTCAGGGAAACCGGCAGGCCGGACTCGAGTCCTGGAGATGGGAAGTACAGTGCCTGCACTCTGAAGGAGGGGTGTTAATGTTGCAGTTTAAAAACTGTAGTGTAAAGCACCCTTCTGGCAAGACAGTGATGGAGTGAATGATGGTGAAAGTTTTTCTTTTTCGGGCCACCCTGCCTTGGTGGGAATCGGCCGGTGTGATAATAAAAAAAAAATAATATTAATTAAAAAAATAAAAGGATAAATAAGTATACAAGATATGATATAGGGCATAATGACATTAGTTTGTTGGATTATGTATTGGTAGATAAAAGACTGATGGGTAGACTTCAGGATGTGCATGTTTATAGAGGGGCCACAGATATATCAGATCACTTTTTAGTTGTAGCTACACTGAGTAAAAGGTAGATGGGATACAAGGAAAATGGAAGCAGCAACTAAGAGAGAGGTGAAGGTTTATACACTGAACGAGGAGGCAGTTAGAGTAAGACATAAACAACTATTGGAAGAAAGATGGGCTAATGAGAGCATAGGCAAAGAAGATGAAGAGGTATGGGGTATATTTTAGAATGTGGTGTTAGAGTGTTCAGCAGA